AGCTGGGTAGAAGAGCCCCCCCTTAATCTTCACCCCCACTGACTTCCCAGCACGCCCAGCGCTGCTGCAGTTCTCAATTGTCACCTTTTTCTTTTTTTTAGGATCGCCTGTATTTTGTGATGGAATACGTGAACGGAGGGGACTTAATGTACCAGATTCAGCAGGTTGGCAGGTTTAAGGAGCCCCACGCCGTGTAAGTCCAGTGGGTAGAAGAGCCCCCCCTTAATCTTCACCCCCACTGACTTCCCAGCACGCCCAGCGCTGCTGCAGTTCTCAATTGTCACCTTTTTCTTTTTTTTAGGATCGCCTGTATTTTGTGATGGAATACGTGAACGGAGGGGACTTAATGTACCAGATTCAGCAGGTTGGCAGGTTTAAGGAGCCCCACGCCGTGTAAGTCCAGCAGCTGGGGCCCGTTGGGGGGCGGTGCTTCATGGGGCTGTGGCGGGTATCTGTGGGTTCAGCGCTGGCAGGTGTTGAGGTCGGAGACATGGGGCGGGGGGGCAGGATGCAAAGAGGAAACGTTCTCGAGCCAGCCTGACGGTCAGAAGCCGTTTCCCAGGGCTTGTTTTTTGCCTCGCGGCCTGAAAAAGCACCAGGGAGTGCTTGTCAATTTCTCTCCAATTAACCGTTGCGCGAGGCTGCAGACAGGATGCCTGGCCATCTCCCCGAGGTTTGCACACCAGCTGCAGACATGCTGCCGGGCCCAGGCCTCGCCTTGATCCTGGCCCACAAGCCAGAGAGCTGCCGAGCGTCTCACGGCGCCAGTCGATTTCCCACGTGCGTCCGAGGCCAGCCCACCTGCAGTTCTGTGCTGGAATCCCTCCATCTGTGGAACCTCCCAGCTGGAGGCTCCGTTCCGGAAGCTCGTGTCTACTGAGAGGATTTGGCTTTAAGCTGTGGCACAAGGTGTCCCTGGCACGGCGCTGCATCCCACTCCTGTCTCTGCCTTTCCGTCGCTGCTCCCAGGAGGCCCGGGGGGGAGCTGGCGTGCCGTCTGCGGTCGGCGTGCACCTCGCCCGCCTGCTGCTCCCGCCAGAGGCGCTACAGCCGGGGTCTGGTCCCACCTGTCGGTGGTTTCTGGCTGGGATCCCGCGAGGAGGAGCAGCACAGTGTGGCTTCCCACCGGCAACCTGGGTCAGGGCTCTCCACAATGGGTTGCTGTAGTTCAGGGGTGGGCGAGATACGGCCTGTGGGCTGGATCCGGCCTGCCAAGCCATTTGATCCAACCTGTAGCCGTCGCCCTGTCCCTGGGTCAGTCGAGACCCGGGGGCGGGGGAGTGCGCCAAGTCATTCACTCTTCAAAGCACAGCACCTAGAGGGAGCCACCAGCCATATTGAACAGCGAATGACTTCGTGTACTCCCCTGGCCCCGATTGGCCCTGGGGGCGGGGGAGCGCTTGAAGTCTCCTTTCTCCGCCAGCGGCACACAGCCCCTAGCGGGAACCACCCCTTCCTCTGGAGGCCCCGCCCCTTCCTCTGGAGGCCCCGCCTCTTCCCTGGAGCCCCCGCCCCTTCCTCCTGAGGCCCCGCCCTTTCTGGGAGTGGAGCCAGCCCACTACCCGCAATTCGTGAAGTGGCCCTCCTGAAAAAATTATTGCCAGCCCTGCTGTAGTTACTAGGGATGTGACGGTTTAACCGGTTAATGGGTGGGGCTTACAGGTTAAGGTTAACCGGGGGGCCTGAGCAGCCCCTGGCTGGAGTGGCCTCCTGCTCGCCCCTCTTTAACTGGTTACACAGTATGCTAAACGGTTAGCCAGTGAAATGGGATTTAACATCTCTAGTGGCACGTCAGTCACAGGCCTGAGTCTCCGAAGTGCGGAGTGTGCAGCAATCCCTCTTGGCTCCAGGGGGAGGCGCACTTTTGGGACGCAGCCCCTCTTACGTGCCTGCTTTTCTGTGGGCTCCGAGGCCTCACTTTCAGCCCCTGGCTCTAGCACATACCCTATAAAACCTCCTTGTAGGTAATTCGAGCTAGGTAGGCAAATGAGGCGACTGGATTGCAAATGAAGCCTGGAATTTAAATATCCTGGGCTTTATTTGCATGTTCCCGTCCGGTCTCCATTTTGAAATTTCACTAGCCCGAACTCACTGGCGCGCAGCTACACGTGACAGTAAAACATTAATTCGAACTACATCCTTAGTTAGTCCTTAGTTAATACTTCCATAAGGACTTAGTTCGAATTAATGTTTCACTGCCATGTGTAGCCGCGCGGCAGTGAATTCGGGCTAGTGAAATTTCAAAATGGAGACCGGACGGGAACATGCAAATAAAGCCCAGGATATTTAAATTCCAGGCTTCATTTGCAATCCAGTCGCCTCATTTGCCTACCTAGCTGGAATTAACGAGCTAGTGTAGACATACCCGTAGCGAGTCCTCCCTGCCTCACGTTTCAGCAGCCTGTCCCGCCCTGGCGCCACGTTTCCATCCAGACACGTGCCCGGGGCTTCTCTCTGGCTCGCCCGCAGGGCAGCACCCGGGATCCTTTGTTTGAGGTGAAGATGCTGCCTGGGCAGGCCTGCCCCTCGTCTGGGGCCACCGTTGGATTCTTCCCCTTTGAACCCACTGGCGAGGCCACAGTCCTTCCTGGGAGTCAGCAGGGAAGCTGTTTTGTCAAGTGGCACAAGCCTTTCCTTTAGGGCGGGTTGTTGCCATGGGCCGGCTTGAGAGACCCTCCGCTTTGGGACGCTGGTAAAAGGTGCTGGGCCTGGAAGACTGTCGATTCAGCAGGGCGCAGGCGGCAGGAACGGGAGCTTCCCCTCACCCCGCCAAGCAAAGGCGCCTCAAACCCTGCCCTGCAGGGCTGTCCCCGGACACACAAGAGGAACGTTCAGTCTTTGGCCGCGTCACTGTCTGCCGGCCAGGTGCTGATCGGGGCTTTGGCACCCGCGGATTGTAATTTAGTCCATGGATCGGATAAACGGACGGTAAGACGGATAGAAAGCTGGCTAGACTGTCGGGCCCAGCGGGGAGTGATCAACGGCGCCATGTCAGCTTGGCGGTCGGTGTCTAGCGGAGTGCCCCGAGGATCTGTTCTAGGGCCGGTTTTGTTCAACAGCTTTATTCGTGACCTGGCTGAGGGGATGGGTTGCACCCTCAGCAAGTTGGCGGATGACACTAAGCTGGGGGGAGAGGTAGATACGCTGGGGGGCAGGGACAGGGTCCAGAGTGACCTGGACAGATTAGAGGATTGGGCCACAAGAAACTGGATGAAGTTCAACAAGGACAAGTGCAGAGTCCTGCCCTTGGGAGGGAAGAATCCCAAACATTGGTACAGGCTGGGGACCGACTGGGTAAGTAGCAGTTCAGCAGAAAAGGCCCCGGGGGTTACAGTGGATGAGAAGCTGGATACGAGTCAACAGGGCGCCTGGTAGCCAAGAAGGCGAATGGCAGATTAGGGGCATTAGCAGGAGCATTGCCAGCAGATCCAGAGAAGTCATTATTCCCCTTTATTCAGCTCTGGTGAAGCCACATCTGGAGTATTGTGTCCAGTTCTGGGCCCCCCACTACAGAAAGGATGTGGACACATTGGAGAGGGTCCAGCGGAGGGCGACCAAAATGCTGCGGGGGCTGGAGCACATGGCCTATGAGGAGAGGCTGAGGGATTCGGGTCTGTTTAGTCGGCAGAAGAGAAGAGTGAGGGGGGATTTGAGAGCAGCCTTCAACGCCCTGCAGGGGGGTTCCAAAGAGGCTGGAGAGGGGCTGTTCTCAGTGGGGGCAGAACAAGGAGCAATGGGTTCAAGTTGCAGGGGAAGGTCTAGGTTGAATATTAGGAAAAGCTGTTTCCGTAGGCGGGTGGGGAAGTGCTGGGCTGGGTTCCCTACGGAGGGGGTGGAATCTCCATCCCTAGAGGTGTTTAAGTCCCGGTGTGACGGAGCCCTGGCTGGGCTGATTGAGTTGGGGCTGGTCCTGCTTTGGGCAGGGGGCTGGACTCAACGACTCCTGAGGTCTCTTCCGGCTCTAGGATTCTCCGATTCTAGCAGCTGGGCTGAGGATAACAAATCGTTTCACAGGGCCCCCCAAAAGCACTTTTCCTTCACCAGCCTCTGTAGACAGCGGCTGGGTTTAAAGCAGCATCGTTTCCGAGGGCAGCTGCAATCCCCTGAGCACCGAATCTTCCTTCCCACATTACCGCCGGTTCCTCTATCTTCTTGGCCTCCCCATGCTGCCGTGGAACGTCATGTGTCATGGTCAATCACCCCCCAGTAGCAAACTGCCATAGATCTGGCCTCTTTTTTTTTAAATGGGGATCTGTGTAATCCCAAGTGACAGTCCCACACTTGCCCACAGCAGCCTGATCGTGTTATTCCCCCCGCTCTGGCCGAGGGAAGCGACGTCGCTTTTGCGGGATACTTGTCCAGTGGTTTTCCAGCGCAATTGCCTTTATCTTTCGGTGCCGGCTGCCCTGTGTGTTTCATTCGGTGTAATTAGATTTCAAAGCTTTTCATTTTAATTTATCTGCTTTAATTATCAGCGTATTCCTGTTCAAATTTTCATTTCAGATTCTACGCAGCTGAAATTGCCATCGGTCTCTTCTTCCTACAAAGCAAAGGCATCATTTATCGGTAGGTGAGCAGTTCCTCTCTTACTAAAGAACGGGTGCAAAAATACGAGCCTATTCCTTACAGCGACTGGGCTTTGTGCTACAGGTTCAAGGAATCTTTTTTTTGTCAGCTAAGTGACATAGTACTCAGCCGCTGTCCCTGCCGGTGCAGCCCGCTCCACTGACTTGCAGGGCTGATTGGCAGCTGTCCATTCATACCCCCCCTAAATAGAACCAGAGGCCTGTTAATGTTAGTGCGGTAGAAGCCTGTAAAGAAAGAGAGTGCAGAAAACAAACGTTTTGGTTAAAACAAACAAAAGATAGTGTTTTTCACTCGGCAACCTATGGAACTCCTTGCCAGAGGAGACTAAGGGGGAATATGAGAGAGGTCTATAGAATCATGACTGGGATGGAAAAATGAATAAGGAAAAGTTATTTATATGTTCCCATAACATAAGAACTAGGGGTCACCAAATGAAATGAAGAGGCAGCAGATTTAAAACAAACAAAAGGAAGTTTTTCTTCATGCAGCGCACAGTCAACCTGTGGAACTCCTTGCCAGAGGATGTGGTGAAGACTAGGACTTTAACAGGGTTCAAAAAAGAGCTTGATAGATTCCTGGAGGTTAGGTCCATCAATGGCTATTTGCCAGGATGGGTAGGAATGGTATCCCTAGCCTCTGTCTGGAAATGGGTAACACGGGAGGGATCAGGTGAGGATTACCTGTTGTGATCCATCCCTCTGGGGCACCTGGCATTGGCCGCTGTCAGAAGACAGGACACTGGGCTGGATGGACCGTTGGTCTGACCCCGTCTGGTTGTATGTTAAAAGCAGTTTTGACTCTCCTCGTGCCTCCCTGTTTTACGTGTCTGTTTGCACAGCATGTATCCCGGTGGCGAGGGGGGGGAGGGGAGGGGATTGATGGGGAGATGCGTATTTTACTAGGGAGCATTGTCTTCTCCTCTTTGAGACTTAACCTGCTTGCTTAGGGGCGGCTTGTGCTGGGATTTGCAGTTCAAACCTGGCACGTCCAGCCCCGGTGCTTGCAATCTGAGAACTAGCAAGCTAGGTTAGCGAGGGAGGCGTCTGGCCAGGCACCGAACCCGCTGCGGCTTTGTAACATGCCGGGGTGTTCACGAGGCCCAGGGTAAAGCAGAACATGAGCCATGAGTGTCCGATGTCGTGAACTGCCCGGCGCAGTCCCGGGCTACCGCCCTCGCGGCTCCAAAGACGAAAGCAGCTGGGGGAACCTGCCGTGGGGGATTTTTGCCATTAGCTGTTGCAGAGAGACATTGAGCGCGCTCTGGTACCGTGTGCCTCTTCCCCCTGTAACACGGCACGCCGCCTTTGGCTCCTCTGCCCTTGGCCAAGCTGAGTTCCAAGCGCTGTTGCCAGAGAGAGCGAAGTCCTGAAAACAGTCCGCAGCTGCAGACGGTGCTGCTCCTGCGACTGCACGGCACAGCCGCCCGTGCTGATCTGGGGGCGTTGTCTTTGCCTGTGCGGTGACCCTGGCTCCACAGAGTGATCGCTCCAGGGAGTCCGCGCCGCTGCGGGAGTAACCCAGTATCACCCCAACCGCCCCCTGGCTCTGTGCGCTCCCCAAAGGGTTCGGTGCTTACGCCAGGGAAAGCGGTCCATGCCACCTTTGTCCGCTTCAGAGCTGTCGTCATACGTGGGAACCGGGGGGTTGGTGGTCCAGAGTGCTTGGCTTGACGCCTCCCCATCCTTCTGATGCATCCCTGTCGGAGGAGAGGTGAACCTTTGTCCCTGCCCCAGAGGCGCCGGCGCTGTGACACACGGTAGCCCAGCGGGTTTCACACGGCGGGGCGGCCCCAGCACTGGGGTGGGGGGGTGTCGGGCGCTGGGGCTCGGTGCTGCAGGGGGAGCAGGTGAGCAGCGGGGGGACTAAGGCAGGTCCCTGCCTGGCCTAGCCGTGCCGCCT